ATTCCAGTTAAATTAAATGGAACTCAGTGAGTAAACCTGTTGTAGTTGTTGGCTTTGATATGACAAGTCTCTTTAGTAAAGCTGATCCATACAAAATCTCCTTATCAGTGACTGTGCTTGATCATTCTGGATGTTGTACACCCCCCAAAAAGTAACTTCCCCAGACTCTGCCTAAAATGTACCCTTGCCCTTCACTCTTACTTTTACATAGCCTATGTCTATCCTAAATTTTGCAATAAAATTATTTTTTTCTAAGGTGTTGTACACATGTAAAGAGCTATAAAAGAAGAAAAAAAGGACAATAAAGGTCATGGAAACAATGGAAGCAGCAATAAATCAATAAAACCACTTTAAAGCAGCCAGTAGATAAGAAAACATCCTGTTCCGAAAAGCGCTGGCCAAACAAGTGTGTTTTTGCTTGGCGCCTGAAACTTGTAAAAAGGAATCACCGGACATAGAGGTGCCCCAGGATGTTCTTAGATGTCCCAAATGTCCATCAGCCCCTGCCTCAGCCTGGTAGGATGGGATGTCCAGTTATTCTTGGTTATCTCTTACATCTCTCTCTCTTTCACACAACACAATTACAACATTTCGACGCCACTTTCACTGCTGCGCTTGCATCCTAAGAAATCCTAGGGTTTGTAGTTTGGAGAGGTACTTAGAGTTCTCCATCAGAGAGCTCTAGCGCCTCATAGAGTCATAGAATCATAGAATCCTAGAGTTGGAAGAGACCCCCAAGGGCCATCCAGTCCAACCCTTTTCTGCCATGCAGGAACTCCCAATCAAAGCATCCCCGACAGATGGCCATCCAGCCTCTGCTTAAAGACCTCCAAGGAAGGAGACTCACCAAGCTACAAATCCCATGTTCTGTCGGATGCAGCCTTGGTTGTTGATGTGGCATTATAGTGCTAAAATTGTGTAGTGTGAACAAAGACTGCAAGTTATTGCTCTCCTGCTATTAGCTACATATGGAAGTGCAATTGAGTTTCCCCACTTTGGCAGGTCTATTTTATTTATTTTATTTATTTCTATGCTGCCTTTCTCCCAAAAGGGACCCAAGGCGGCTCATAGCTAGTCTAGTATTCTTGTCTCAAGGGATGTATCTACACTGCAGAAATAAAGCAATTTGACACCACTTCAACTGCCACAGCTCCATCCTGTGGAATCCTGGGATTTGTAGTTTGGTGAGGTATTGAGCCCCATATATCAGAGAGCTCTGGTGCCTCATCAAACTACAGCAGGGACCAGCAACCTACGGTTAAGGCCCTGGGCCCCGGACTTACCGGCCCAGGCCGTAGCTTGCCGCCGTCGCCGCAGCCGCGCGCCACTGCCACTGCTGCGCACTGCCATCCGGGCGCGTTTTCGCCCGCGCTTGCTGCGGCCGCCATTTTGGAAGTCAAAATGGCGGCCGCGACGCATTTGCACATGCGTAGTACTCCGCTGCACACGCCCCCCCGCGGTAGCAGCCACAGCCGCAGCGTGCGCGGGGGGTCGCGTGCGGCGGAGGAGGGTGCGCGCGCGCCACCATTCCCCCCCCTTGGCCCAGCTGAGACCTGCGCAACGGGAGACCGGCCCAGGTCTCCAAAAGGTTGCCTGTTGCTGAACTACAGATTTCAGGATTCTGTAGGATAGAGTCATGACAGTTAAAGTGGTGTCAACCTGCTTAATTTCTATAATGTGAATAGGCTGAGCAATGGCAGCAAATTTTCTGCCCTGGGACCCTCCAGGAATCATTTTTTTGCTATAAGACCCTCCCAGGGCCTGTCATTTCTGACAAAAACAAAGAGAAAGTTATTTTTTCTGCGACTCCTCAATGGAATTTATCACGCGGGCAAAAGAAACGGGATATTAGCGCTATGCTCAC